CAAAAATAAAAACAGTACACGAGATTACTATAAATAAAATAAAACAATATTCATAACAATTATACTAATAGTCATAATAAACAACAGAAGGGAGATAAAGAATCGTTTTTTTCTTAGAGAAAAAAGCATATTCCCCCTATATGTCGGATTTGATCGAACCAAATATCCATTTATCCCATCCATCCATCCAATCCATATCACTAACCCATCTATTACTATTCGTAATGTCTTAACAGAGACAAATTCCATCATGATTATTATTTGACTCATTATCAAGTTTGATTGGATCTGGGAAATTGTCGTATCTATTTACGTATAATAATTTGGTAAATAAATGTATGTATGAGAACAATTAGAATCAATACGACATGAGATTGAAAATAAATATTACGCACAGGTCTGATTCCGCTTCTTGTTGCAAAGCATTTTTTGCAATGGTTTGGAAGGCTGTTTCTACATTTATAGCCTCCTTGGCACTTGTTTCGAAATAAGGAATGTTTCCTTTAGATTGACACCAAGTCATAGCTCTTTTTTGGGACACCTAAAAAACGAACAAAGATAATATATAAACATTAGCAAAAACAAAACAGCAACGTCATGATCTTTTACCGTTTATAAGCATGATAAAATTCTCTCTCTAAAGGTCTAAATACCATTCTCTTTGATTCTTCCATATCAATTTTATTGCCTAAAACAACAAAGGGGAAATTTTCTGGATCTCGTGGCGACGCCTGCACTAAGAATTCATCTCTCCAACTATCCAATGTTTCAAAACTTTTTGCATTGTTTACGTCGTACACTAGCACGCAACAATCAGCACCACGGTAGAATGCGACTCCTAGTGACTGAAAACGTTCTTGTCCTGCGGTGTCCCAAATCTGAAAGAAAGAAGGACGATAAATCAATAATTGATTTATCAGACTAGCAATCATCCTTTTGGATAAATATTATCTTGATTGTTTCTTTTAACCTGCATTGTCACAAGACGATCGTCAACCATTACTTCCTTAGTTAGAAAATCAGCGCCGATGGTAGCTTTGTATTGATTACTGAATTTCTTATTGACATATTGATTCATTAAAGACGTTTTCCCGACACTGTTTAATATTGAAAACGAAGTATATGTATTAGCCCATTTATATTCATCAAAAAATATCCGTAATTTTTGGTTCATTCAATTTCCCACACTATTTGAAAGTTCCTCAAAAAAGACTCACCCACTGTCACCCAAGATAATGACCTAAGAAGATATTAAGATAAAGTTATCTTAAACGCTCAAAGAACAGACCAGCCAAGTAAGATCTTTCTAAACAAGTTACCTTCAAAAGAATTTTCTTGCGAGACGCCATTATGAGTTTTCCTTATAAGTTCACTTTTACGTTAACACAAAAGTTAAACAGCTTCTTCTCTAAAGATTTAAGTTAATAAATTACACCACGATTGCTTTCTTTAAGAGAGTAAGAGGTAAAAGGAGACAAATAAGCAGCACCACACACAGGCGTGCGGTTTTGTATGCCTTTTTCTGTTGGATGATATCACCGCTGTACAACGACAGAAAAAACTGGGTTTTTGTGCACGTGAGTTCTGGAAATTTACAAGAGATTTATTTAATAATTACAACATTTGAGGCTGAATTATCACATGTCTTTAGGCTAGTTAGATGATCTAGAAACATCATCCTTAATGACAAAATTAAGGATAAATTTCTATTTTGGATTTTTCAAGATTTAAAATGAAATAGATGTTGCACTAAAAGATCCGTGAGATCAAAACGCTAACGCTATGCATGTATATGCATCGACCCTGTGCATACGACGATCTATATATGTTAAGACTCGTATTAGCTCAAAAATAAAAAAATGACGTTACTACAAAGCCGACGATATATTCTCGGTCTATTAGTTCTGTTGTCCGTAGTGTTCATATGGGTGGGAAGTGCTTTTCTAATGAATGTAAGAACAGACTTGTTGTACATGATTAAGAGGAGTTAACGTGTTTTCGAATCTAATCTAATGGCATCTTTTTTGTGATTATTTAATTAGTATATGTTTGTAAACCAAGATTACAATAAACCATTTGCAGTTTCATTTTTAAACCAAAGCTCTTTTTCATTGTACTTACTTTTGACGCTGTTCAACAAAAAGAAGCCGGCTTCTGATAAGCAAAGGTGCTACTAGTAGTAGTTGATTGATACTTCAAAGATGAACTTTTTCAATGATATCTTAAAAATTGATTCGTTTTTTGTCTTTGATTAGTGAATCCAATCGCGCGCTATACGACGCAGCATCAAAATCGATTGAGTCTACCAACAAAGATAATGTAAAGTGTTTTTTGTGATGCACTTTTCACAAATAATAATAAATAATAATAATAAATTTTTTCCTCTTATAAATGATTCTTTTTTAGGTTTCGCATCATCTCATTGACTCTGATCAACAGAGCCAACGAGAAACTTATAAAAATTCTTTGCCGAAAATAAAATCTAATAATCTCAATGACAGTGAAAACAATAACGAAGAAACTACTTTTCTGTTAGATTCCACTCAAGGTTTATCAAATTTCCAATTTACTAGTAGTACTGGGTAGTATTAATTATAATAACAATGGGTATCTAGATCCTCACGATATACCTTCTGATTATGTACACGATAAGCTGACCAAAAACGAGGTAGTTCTTTTTATTAAGGGTTGCTCGTTTCGTTAATAAGTTAATTTAATTTTTTTGAGAATTAGGTCGCAAAACTCGGGTTAATCTTTTGTGTGTTATGGTTTTCAGGTATGTGTTTGCACAAGTGATTATACTTCTAAACCATCAGATAATACTATTGGTATGATAGGTTGTTGGTGTAACAATGCATCTCTTGCGTATACAAACGTCTCCAGCAGTACAATTATGGCTTCCATGTCTGGTAATCTTCGTTAGACTATATCACTTTTCAATATAGTTTCAAAAAAAAATAAAATATTAATGTAATGGTTGGTTTGTGCATTTAGGTTTTTTTACTTTAGGTATTGGGTCGTTATTTGGTATTGAAAAGTTCAACTTGATTAAATTTGTGGCTGTAACTATAAGGTATTAACAATAATTTGATGGACTTTCATTAAAATTTATCCTAAATAAAAACGAGATTCCTCTCTATTAATCAGTGTAACAGGTGTCACTCTTGTATCATTATCCGATAAGTCAGATACATCTGATGATGATCCAAACATACCATCAGCACCTCTGCTTGGTGATATCCTTTCTCTTTTAGGCGCATTCTTTTACGGATGCAACATAGTGCTTTTAAAACGACGGATCCGTGATGAATCACGTATTGACATGCATTTATTTCTGGGCTACGTCGGCGTTTTCACCTTCATTCTACTCTGGCCTGGGTTCTACTTGTTTCACATCACGGGCATCGAAAAATTCAAACTACCTTCAACTGATATATTATGGTTGATGGTGGCTATCAACGCATTGATAGGCACATTTTTATCCGATTATCTATGGTTATTAGCCACTTTTATGACTTCACCGTTGGTGGTCACTCTTGGGCTCTCATTAACCATTCCATTGACGTTAGCTGGTGATGTTTTCTATAAAGAAATTCATCTAGGCACGCAGTATTGGGTTGGTGCTGTTTTTGTGCTTTTGGGATTTTTGACCGTGAATTTGGCGACGCTTCGAGAGCAGAAACAGTTGAAACATGATCGTGTCTACAATGAAGACAACGATGGTGAGGTTTAAGGGCAAGTTGTTTGCTATATTATTATGATTATTATCAATGAATTATTATTCTCTTTATTATTTTTATTTTATTTATAGTAATCTCGTGTACTGTTTTTATTTTTGAATTTCTTTCAAATATAAGACTTAAATAGTGATAATGATAGCAATAATGATAATGATAACAATAGCAACACTACTGTACCGAATGAAGGGCACACGAGTTCGCTCTCTTTAACGTCTCTGATTTCAAATGACGCGACGATGCAGTGTACTAAAAGGACCTCATCGTCACTACCGTCATCATCTATCATTGATACTAGTCATACGAGAGCGAAAAAACGTTAATTGAATGTGTCAGTTAATAGTAGTGTGACGGCGACACGAGTTTATAATTACACTGATTTATATATAATCATATATTTATGTCTATTATGAAAGAAATTCATAATTAATAACTACATGATTAATTCCCTTGGATCAGGTTTCGTCTAACAATATATGAATTATATGCAGAGGATGAAAAGACTCTCAATCAAATGATGATTTTATCATTTTTCGCATTGATAATAATAAATAGCTAAATGACTAGGAGGATTGAGTTTTTACAAATCCTGGGATTACCCATAAAAAATGTCTTGTTTCATTGGCTTACCAATAAAACGAAAATCCGAAATATTACATTCAAATATCCCACTTCGGATTCATCAATTACTATATATTTTTTCTTCCGTTTTCTGTCTTATTACTACTGCTAATATTATCTGGTTTTGCAAAGTCACCATTACTACTTTTGCTTTTACTTTGCTTTTCACTTCTCTCCTTAGCAAGTTTATTTAGAACTTGATTCCGTGCACGTTTCACATCCACCTCAAGTGCCGGCAACTCAAAATGTTTTGCAATGGCTTCTATCCGTTCTTCGGGAATCATGCGCTCCGGATCATCGTGTCCGCCCAAATCTATATCCTTGTATATCGTGTCCAGCATTTCGCAGGTAAGCGGCGAGAGCCGATTATCTGTGATTACTTGTCGAAGATGTTGAGCACCTTTATATGCTATATACATGTGAAAATTATTAGTGGGGATGACAACGGTAAACTAAGGATGATAACGTTAGAGGACATTTCCGATTTACCTTTATAATGACTGTATAATCTGAATAGATTGTAGAATAGAGGTATGTTCGGAATTAAGGGCACAATTGTAAAGGTGGCAGACAATGGCACAAATAGTGCCGAATAGATCATGTACTTTCGATGATACGGTAGTCGTTTGTCAAGTAATTGATTTAGATTTGAATTGATTTGTGATGGTGAGACTATTTTCGATGGGTATATCATTGGCACCTGTGACAGACATTTCGCGCCAAAATTCAATCATATATCAATAATACTAATAGGAATAATAATGTACCAAGAGGAATTAAATATTTTGAGACGAAAACAACGAACTTTGAAAAAGAGAAGAAAGGAATGAGTCTGGGGTGAAAGAGGAGTAAAGAACCAAAAAGATTTTTTATGTCTTTTTATTCTCGCACACTCGCATCCCAGAACATTATCTACTTCACTTACTTCAGCCGACCACTCCTCGAGTAAAGGTACCCCTTTTAGAAAATATTCTTGATAGTCCATTTGGTCGAGTAGCTTCTGTCCTGTTAGATAAAGACGCCCTTTCCAACTGGTTCTCTCGGCGTGTGATAGTTCGTCCCACTTCGACGCGGCAAAATTTGTCGCTTTTGAGAGGTATGTCTGTTTTTTGGGTGTAGCGTGACAGTAGTAGGTGTATCTTGCTCGAAGAAGTGGTATTACATATAGTTTCATCGTAAATTTAAAAGGATATTAACATTACCGCCGATTGAATCTAGGGAATTGATTGATGCTACCTGTATTAATCGATTGGGATCTGATTACGCGTTCTTAATCAATCATATCAATCAACGATTATGATGATGTTGATTGATTATTTGGCGTGATCAGATACTTTAATGCTAGGCGGCGCTATGAACATTATACATGTATAAATAAATTTGTTTGATAAAAAGAATCGAATTCTTTGACACATAATATACATTCAAACAAAGAATATGTCTCTTGAAGCTGCTAAAGATATCGTGTCGACTGGTTCCGAAATCGCTACTGGAGCTGCGATTAAAACCAAAGAAGCAGCACAAGAACTTTTAACACAACCTGGTCAATATTACCAACAATCGCACCGTTTTATTACCAATATATGGAACAAAAGTTCATTTCTTCGTCTTTATAGCTATATTGCTGGAGCATACGGAATCATTCCTGCGGTAATTCTCGTTGGTTGGATTATTGTAACGTTGGTAATCGTTGTAGGGATAGCAGGAATTGGTATCGTGGTCGCGGAGGGATTTTTCGCGTTTTTAGGATCATTGGTGTTCTTCCCTGTGGTGGGTACTTTATTGTTTCTCGCTAGTGTTGGCGGTATTGTGGTTGGATTTGTGTATGCTAGTTACAAAGCTATCGAATATGCGTTGTCTGCGATGGGGTTTCTTCCGAGAGACTTCTTACATGGTGCACCCCCCGTTTCAAAGGAGCAAGAAGAAGCCTCATAATGAACAAATAGTTATTGAAAACCGTAAAGGCACAAGTAGTAGACGAGCTATTACTAATAACATCTTCACTGTTTTTATACGAGGAATTTTCGAATCGATTTATCGCAAAATGGAATTGATAGCTTATATTTTTATTGTAGGATTTATCATTTGCACTATCATATACTTTAGCAAATAAATAACAATATATGTTAGAAATTTTTATCAACATACCATTATTTCAAATAAATTTTTCAATAGTTAAAAAGAGGATTTCGATACTTTTATTTTTGCTATTACCTTCACGCCCTTATTTAATGCCAAATATTTTGAATCATTAATTGACTTTCAATTAAATCTTTGAAAAAGATTAAAGAAAACAATGACGATTTCTCCGGAAAAACACCATTCAATTTATAAATAAGCACCATCTAGATTCGGCACCATTTCAAATCAATTTTACACTCTGGCCAGCATTATTTTTGATCTTTTGGGCTCAATGGCAATAAATATTAATCGCATGATATAACTCATATATAACGCACTGTCAATACTATTTTTTTTGGCGTTCTGATATTTTTGATATTCTTAGTTTCAACGAAATAAACACGTATGATTATTTAGCATCCGAAGAATCAAAATTTTCGACAGCCACCTTTTATTCGATAAAATCATTCGCAAGGAACGGTTTTAGAATTTGTGGGTGAATATTTTTGCCACCGTTAGTGCAGTGCAGATTGGTTAGTTCAAAATTAATTGTGCTAAAAAACAGAGTTTAAGCGTGAAAGATCTTTGTCCAACTCTTGGTTTAGTTTTTTCTCAATACAGTCAGAGCCCCCTTACAATGGCCGCATTTACCTAGAACTTTTGGACAGATATATAGTGCTTTCATTGGTAAATCCGGGTGTAGGACGTTTACATATGTTAATTCATCAATATAACTTCCCTCAATAAAAGCTGAGTCTGGTGTATATGACACGTTGTAAAACTTTGATTGTAAATGTCGACTCAAGAATAACACCACCATCACATTTTGCTATGTCTATAAAATGATGACAATAAAGGTGCTATATCAGAACAAGCTCATGATACAGATGTCGGATTCAATGTTCATTATACAGTAAACTCTCGCAAAAGTCCCACACAATCGCGCTAGGGTCGCACATGTTACTATTTCAAAATTTCTACTAGTGTTCGGTTACCTTCGAAAGATATTGGATCTGGGCGCGACACAATCAGGGAGGGAATCGGCTGAATGATTTCATCAGTAGAGGCTTCCTGTGGTATTTTTACGAAACTATTGACTAAAAAGTGGTGTGAGATAAGGAAATAAATGAAGTTTCTATTCACAATAATTACTTAATAACAAAAATAAAAAAGGTTGGACTTATTAATGTAATCAACAAATCAATAATTCGAAGTAAGGCACTAAGCAAATTCAACAGTTGGACTTATCCAATGCCAACAGCAAACAGTAACACTTGATATGAAGTCCTTTCACTATCGATTTGTGTTGGACACAAAAGAAATAAAAGCCATTTGTATGCAAGCTTTGGAGTAATGTAGGGTCAGTAATTTTTTTACAAGAAAAAGCAATAATTAGTGTTTCTTAATTTTATTTTTTATTTCTGTTTTATTCTATTCTTGTCTGAGAATCTTCATATACAAATGGAACTATGGTAAATTTCTATTTGCTATTGCTATATTATAATGAGGCTATATTAAAAAATTTATTCTTATAGATTTTTATAATTATATAGCATCTTTTTATTATAAATAACAACTATTGGAAGAATTCGAATAGAAATTGAAGAGAAATAGAATTTGTTAGATAATAACTTAGAAAGATTAATCATAGTAATAATAATATAAAAATAATAATTGCAAATAATTATTAATTATTATAATTAAAATAATTTAAATATTTAATTATTTAAATATAATAATAAAGTGATATATATTAAATATTAAATATTATAAATTCAATAAAATAATATTAAATATTATAATGTAATATTAAAAATTAATTATTTTGAATATAATTATAATTATTATATTAAAAAGAATTAAAGAAAAAGTTTAAAGAAATTGAATATAATTATAATTATGATCCATTATGAAAAATTTGATACATTAGATAAATATTAGTAAATTATTTTTTCAAAATAAAATTTTCATTTAATTAAATATAAAAATTTTTATTATATATCTTTTATAAAAAAAATTTTTACTTTTTTCAATTATTATTTCTTAAATTTTATTATATAAAATTTGATTAAATTAATATAAAAATTTCATAGTAGATAATTTAATTACTAAACTTTAAATCTTAATATCTTTATAATTACTAATCAAATTTTTATCAAATTTAGAACATATATAAAGTAATCTACTTGTATAATTTAAAAGTTTTAATATTGCAAATTGATAGTAATAATATTTAAAATATCTTTTTTTAAAAAAATAATTTTATTTTAGTTTTTTAGAAAGTAATACTTTATTTATTATTAAATTAAAATATAATAAAATAATTAAAATAAAGTTGTCTTTTGTTTATATAAATAAAAGATGACTTAGATTAGACTATTATAGTTTTAGATATAATATATAAATTACAGAACTTAAGTTATTTAAATAATAGAACAATCACAAAATTCAAGTTATTTAAGTAATAGATAGATTATAAAATTCAAGTCATGATATGATATATAGATCATAAAACTCAAGTCAGATACTATATATATTACATTTGTATTATTACTTGAGAATTGCTAAAATATATGCTAATATAATATATATTTTATATTTTAGAATATGCTTGAGTGATATGTATTTTGCTTTTTATAACATATATCAAGATGATATATTTTATATATCAAAATACATATTAATCATTATATACTAATTTGATAATTATAACTAATTTTCATTGCTAGATTATATAGATAAAAAAAATATCTAATATATATTCAGTTATATGTTATCATTTATAGATCTAATATGAAAGCTATATCCAAACTTGACATATAATACCTTAGCTTTTTGATTAATTTCTTAATGAGAATCAGATTTGAAATATGTAGAACTAAAATAATATTTATATTCTAACTTTGTAAAATATGTTTAAATACTAATTGAAAATAAGATATATAGTATCAAATTATTAGTAATTATTAGCTTTATATAATTCATTCAAATATTATCTAAGAATAAGACATATAATATCAAATTAATACTTCTATCTGGTAATATATCAAAGTATAATTTTATAATATATATATCTATAATAATTTTATCTTGATATATTATCAAAATTATATTATATTTTCACAATCTGAAATTATTTCTTGCATAGTTAATATTATTAAATATTATCTATATATAATATTTCTACTTTAATTATTAGATTTGAGATATATAATACTGAAATAATATCTCTATTTGGTAATATATTAAAGCATAATTTTATAATATATATTTGTAATAATTATTTTTTGATATATTATTAAAAGTTAATTATATTTTTTAATTCCAGAACTCTTTCTTGTATAGTTAATAGCTTTGAGTATTTTGCTTTATTAAAAAATTAAATCATATTTGATAATCTTAATATATTATTTTTTTAAAAACTTTGATATATTACTTTTTTGAAAATCTTGATATATTATTTTTTTGATAATCTTAATATATTACTTTTTTGATAATCTTGACATATTACTAAATTGACTATATTTTTAATAATCTTGACATATTATTTTTTTGATAATCTTAACATATTACTAAATTAATATAACAATAAGTTTGTATAAAGTACTAAAATTGTGTAATATAAAAACAATTATTAATTAATTTAGTTTATCTATATTAAGCCTATATTATAGACTTATATAATTTTAATAATAATAATTTGTTAAAATTTTTTCTTATCTTTATATATCACTTATTTGAAATTTCTATTACAAGCTTATATAATGATTGATAAAATTACATATTACAAAAATAATTATCAACTATATATCTTAATCTATATACTAAAAATACTTATTCAGAACTTTATTTTGATTAAAATTTTATGACATAAAAACTCTCTTGTATATAATCTAGATATCAGAATATTAATTTTTAATTTAAATTTTTTTAAATACTTATTATAAGAGATGACAAAAATCTCTTATTCAAAATATATAACTAGTTAAATATAATAATATCTTCTTATTTAGGATATTTTACTTAATTAGATTAATTAGATTATATTATTTTAAAAGATTATATATACTTAATAAGAGTTATAAATTAACTTTTTAATTTTTTTATGAAGAGTAGTAGAAATACTTATTTTAGTCTTAAAATTTTATTTATATTTCAAGAAATTTATTTCATTCATGCTCTTATATTCTTTTTTCTAGTAATTATAATTATCTCACATTTCAAAAGTAATCTTAATTCTTCATTATTTTAGCTTTTCTAGAGATATTTGAAATTTTTGCTATATAAAAAAGATAAAAATATCTATATCAAATTTATTTTTGATAAAAAATTCTAAAGATAAAGAAAATAAGAGTTCAAATATCTTTTTCTTAATCATGCTAATTTTATCAATAGTAATATTAATATAATATATATTTTAAGAAGGATTTTCATTATCTGAATCAATTATCATAAACGCTTAAATTTAAGTAACCCTCAAGAATAAGCAATTCTTCCTTTTTCAAGTTCAAAAATCTTAAAAAAGTTAAATAAGTAATCTCTTTATTAAAAACTATTATATAATAGATTAATACAAAATTTATTATGTTATTTATTTTCATATTCTAATTCTTTAGCAGAATTATTATTTTCATTAACTACTTCAGTTATATTATCAATTTCTGTATTAGAATTATATAATAAATCATCTTTAATTCTATTCAATATATTAAAAATTTCATATTTTTTAAATGATTTTATAATCATTTCTATAGAAATATTATTTCATACCTCTAAAATCTATTGACACATTAAATTATATCCAGACTTTTTTA